GAATTCAGTAAAAACCAATAGAAGCAAAAGATAGATGATGAGAAAAACAATGTAGATGCGTACGGCTCAGAGTTGATCGCCTAGAGATAACAAATCGTCATCATCGTACAAATTAAACTTGATGATCAACTTGATGACGTGTTGACGAAAACTTAACTGATACTTGCCCATCATAACAATCGTATTGAAAAAGTACTCTAGTCTTATCACTAACAACCAAGACGAAGAAATTATACGTCTTCTTGCGAGGTAGTACGCTGTACAAAAACAAAGAAAACGTGTATCGAAGTTTGTTCAAGGAGAACAAACACGTTAACTATTTTAAAATTCGCCAAGATGAACGAGTGTTAGCTTTATTTTCTAATAGACTGTATTCTTTAGAAGAAAAATTTAGTCTTTGTTCACGAAAAATCGACAGTGACAACGAGACGAAGTATATGCAACGCGACGCTCGCATTATTGAGTAGTTTCAAAATGAAGTAGGCCATCCAGACATTTTCTCTTATTAGTCTCTCGATTCCAACTCGCTATTAATGAAGAGAGCAATCAAGAGACTATTGCGCATTCGAGAGACTTAATAAACAAAAATTCCTTTTTTTTTGTACAAGCAATGCATTGAGGTCTAAAACCATCGTTCACAAAATTCTACCATTCAATATCCTTTCTCTTAAAAGTTAGTCAATACCGACTTTTCCCCACTATCATCTCCATATGAGAAAAAACAGCAAAAAATACCTTGCAAAAGTTGTGTTCATTTTTATTTCAACAAATTATTGATGTTATTTTTAATTATTCTAAAAGACAGAGTTAAAAACTTCACACAATCAGCTATTTCAATATCATACAGTATTGATATGATCAACAAAAAAAAACAAAAACAAATACTTGTAATACGCAATATCAATAAGGCACAAAGTTGATGATTTATTCAATAAAAAGAATCTTTCACATTACCGCCACTATTCATCATTATATAATGTGGAGTTGCTGATTGATTTTCATTTTATGCTCGCACAATAATTTTTATATATCATTACACAAATATTAAATATGACCAATGTTGATCAATTATCTTCTAGCATCAATTGAGAATCCATTACTAACTATATCATAAAATATCTAGTTAGTTGAGACATAAAATTAGAAAATTAAACGAAGAAGAATTTTATTTCTCCACATATATGTCTCAAAATTGGTTGCTCACCAAATATATTCATTGTAATGAATTTAACGCAAAGTTTAGCCTGGTTTGATCTTGGAAGATTACCTAAATGAAATATAATTCTATCCTTCAGTTCTCTTCACATCAAATAAAACTATTTAAAGAAGATCTTTGCATTATTATTTTACACGCGATGAAGATTTTTATAGGTTTTAACATATTTTAATTCAAAAAGGAAATCACGACTATTTTCATGACAGAATTCAAATCATGATATCCAATATTCATCTAATTAAATAGAAATAAATCTTTTATAAGCTTCGTTTTATCGTTAATAAGGTCTTCTAAGCTATTTACTTGTTGAATTAAATCAGTCAGTATGCTGAAAAAAGATTGAAAGAAAAAATGTCGAAACAAGCGATGTCTCTAGTAAAGTATGACTCTAAGCCCCTACAGTTCATTGCTGTTTTTCTTATAATTCTGCTAGTCTAGATTGGTAGTGAATAGTAATGATGATGAGTAATGCTTGATATAAATCAACTAAAAGAGTCGCACAAAGAAGTACGATAATACGAAAATTCTATTTTCAAAGCTCCAACTGCTTCATCTTCGCCTAATTTAACTCAACCAAAATCGCCAGTTATTTTATTGCAATTCAATGTTTCATGGGCAATCTTGGTGCACAATATTATGACGGTGTTATAATTGCTATAGCACACTTAAAGGATTTATTATTTACAGTTGCTAAACGAAAAAAAATGACATTGTAAGTTTTTTCTTGTTTATCTATTGACTTGTGTTTGATCTCTATTAGACTATTAGTATTATCTCACATAATAAAGGATGTCCCTTGTTGCTCAGAATTTTCTAAAACATTTTTCGACACTTTATCTTTCGACTATTTGCGGGCAACCATTGAGTCAATGTATTCGATCAGAGAAAAATAAAAAAAAAACTATTTCATAATTGGTTCAAGAAAACATATTACTTTGTCACCCTTAAAAATAAAATTTCGTATAGCTATTTCTATTTTAGAGAATCACATTCAATCGTTTGTATTCAATTTTCAAGCCTAACAGACTTAAACAGCACTTTATCGTTAATACTTTGATCAATGTCAAGAAATATTCGCCCAAAACATTTTTTTCCAATTAAACTTGGTTCTTCAGCTCTGTCAAATATTAACATCACGGTATTCGTCAAACTGGGTATATAAAAAAGCTTATTAGAGTCAATAAAGATTTTATTTGTTTAGTTGATCATGAATATGAACAATCAATTGAATAACTATGTAGATGGCATCTTGGCAAAGCTGAAAGTGTGCATTCAAATTTGAACGACTCTTTTCTTTCAATTTTTCAATTTCGAATAATTTACATATATTCCAAATAAAGTTCTATAGAAGGGAAGTGAAAATCGGATTAATGTTTATCGATATTTATTATTGTAATGTTTTTCTTCTCCTTCTTGTATTTCAAAATGTTCTATTTCGAATCGTAAATTGACAACCGAAAGGCCCTCTCGAGAAAAGACACCGAGGAAACAACTATCACTGCGAAATCACTACAAACATCTATTAACAACACTGTCGTTACAAGAATAACCGCTACATCATTTATTCAATTATCTTTATGAATCGTAGTTTAGATTTAAAATCAGCTGTTCTTATTGATGAATCTGTTACACCCTTTATTTGGATAAACTTACTTCTGGAAAAAACAAGAGTAGCGTGAAAGCTTTCACGCTGGTTATCGCGAATGTTAGAAAAGACAAAGTGCACAACAATTTTCCCTTCTGCTGAGCTTCCTATAGACACACTAAAGTTACTACTAGAGATCGGAAACCGAATAATGTTGATTCAATCTCGATATTTTCATCTGGCGTTTGAACGAACATTTAGAAAAAAACGAAAAAAAAACACTCGAAAGACTAAATCATTCCCTGAAATAGAAGACCTAGGACTTCTATTCTGTTCTGGCTATTTCAATTTTTCGAGTAAAGCTTTTCAGATACTGTTAAATTAGTCCTAGTCAGGCACCATCTGCGTTTTAAAAAATTTTCCACAGACGTCAGATATTCATGATCAAGAATAATCTCTAGAAATCATGATCATTATGTACTCTGTAATCACACATTGTCTGGGAACATGCATTTGAACATCATTACAGATTAACAAACTCATTTTTCCTTCTGCTCATAATATTTGGCAAAATCCCTATTTTCCCTCTTAAAATATCAAGCATTAGTAAATAAAGTTTAATGCAAGGATTTTATTTTAATTTTATACTTTCAAGTATTCGATAAGAAAGAGCATCAAAAATCGTCTAAATAGTGTTTCACATTGAATTATCTTAGTAAGATTATCATAGTGGTTTCAGTTTCACTTGAATATACGGATTATTATTTTTAAAAAAATGTTTTATTATGCCGTGAAACTATAAATTTAGAAAACCAGCGTTTTTTGCTCTTTCAATCGAGATTTCACTATTCTCTGTGCAATATTCTGTTTAAATTTTACAACACTTTAAAATTTTAGGATGGAAAACAAAAACTTGAAAAATGACGAAGAATTATGACTCTAATTACTTCTAAAAAACTAAAGACACTGTAACACAGCTGAACAGAACTTTGTACAGAGAACAGCATGATCTCAATTAAAAGAGCTAAAAACACCATATATATAATTGTCCAAAATTATAGTTACGTTGCATAGTTAAATTGCTTTCTTTTTTACATAATAGATACCATATTCAATTAAAACCGAAATTATTCCGAAAATTCAACTGAGATGTATCAAAAAGTGGTTTGAATCTTTCGCCGCTGGTGAAAACTTTTTTGTGTAATAAAAACTAAAACAACTGTCCTCGAAAAAATATTCGCATCTCAGTTCTGTTGTAGGCCATTTAAAGAACCATCGGCACCCCTATGTAGATATTTTCAATAAATTTTCTTTAATGAAAAGATCTAAAACATAAAAAGTCTGTTAAGCTTTTTCCTCAGTTTTATTTTTTTACGTCCTATACTCTACATTTTCTTATAATGTATGTAAATATTATTAGAATATAAAATGGAAATACACAAGAAAAAATTTACTACTATGAAGGAATATTATTGCCATCGAATCAGTGTAAACCAGTGCATTGTGATGATGAATGTATATACGTTGTCAAGCGTCGTCTGAAACTTTGATGTTTCCTTTGTTGTCGTCAAATACTTTGGAATTGATTGCAACCTCGGAGGAATTGCACTCTGAGCTTTCTGACGCTAAAGAATAGAACGCATTGATGAGAAAAAATGTTCAATGATATATTCATGAAAGTATAAATCCGTTCTATTTATTGACGATGATAACTCATTGAACAATGGTATACATTGTTTATCACTTCTCGATATATTTTAAAGATATCACATGCATATCTATACATGACTATTACTTATATTCAGTCGATTGAAAATTTACGCTGATTGTTTCTCGTGTTGAAATATTCGTAATGAAACGTATCGTGCTTTTAACACTCTGTTTCCCATTGAGACAGAATTTTATTTTCTGTTTATTCTAGAAGAAAAATGTCTTTGATCAATAAAGTTAATGTTAACATTGAGCATTGACTTTTCAGAATCAAATTAGTTTTGAGATGTTACAGATCCATCGCCATACTTTGCTGGGATAGTCACTCACGTGCCAATGGTTGTTTTAAAATTGAATTTAAAACTCTTAAAAAATTCCTTTTATGAATCTTTTTTCATTTTATGTTGATCTTAAATTTCGTGTACTCTTGTTCTTGATATTAGTCCCTTTTATTGATTGTACAGAGAAGACAGACAAAAAACAATGTTTTTAAACAGTAGTTGAAGCTTTATGTGCATAATTAGCATTCAAAAAGACTCCACGCATTGATAATGTATTGATCTGTTTCGGTGTAGGCACAATCGTCAATTTATCATAAGTTCCTGGACCAGGTACCTTTGAAAGTTTTCTGTGAAATCGATCAGTACAACTTCTAAATGAAGATGTTATTGTTGGACTATGTGCATTGATTATATTAGTTTTAGGTTCATAATCACTAGGTGCTGGACCAACTTTCTATATTGGCAACAAAAAAAAACATTTTTTTTTATCAATCTAGCAACGATATGAAAGAACTTACTGGAAGGAATAGTTTTCGTGTAGTTTTTGATTTAAAAAAACTATGACTACAAAAGGCCATGAGAAAAATTACTTGTTAAACTATAATTCAATCATAGTATCTGACAAACCTGGCTGATTGAACAGGAACATTAATCGTGTGATATTTTTGTGTTTCATATAGTCCTGGGGGTACATCAATATCCTATGAAAATAGATTCAATTAATTATATATTCTATATTGTCTATAATACTTTTTTTCTTATAACAAACAAAATTAGAACAGCTTCTTCACATACCTTATCTTGATTAACTGCCATTGTTTGTTTCAACAGACCTTCTCGTTCAGGACCTTTGAAACCATATGAAAGTCGAAGTTGATTCATTCTACAAGGATATTTCAATATCTTATTAAGAATATTAATAGATCAGTACTATACCGTTCTACAAAGTCTTCTACTGAATATGCTCCAGGTAATAAGTCTTTTCCTTTAGGTTCTAATGGTTGTGGATCACGTCGTCGTCCATCGCTTTTAAAACCGTATGTCATTGGACGAGCCACTATTTCTTTGATGAATGTGTTCAAATGTGTATTGTATGTACCAGGAATAGGTGTATCCTATATGTGTAAGTATGAATATACAAAAAAAATCGAAATATACCTATAATCTTACCTTAATTGTAGTACGCCACCAACTTTCACGATCGGATACTGGAGGTTCATAGTTGTATGGTTTCGAATTTCGTTGTGTTGTTTTCAAATTAATGGTAGCATCGGGTCGTAACGAAGGCAGTTTAAGCTGAACTTGTTGTTGTTGTTTTTGCTTTGTTTGTGCCGTTGTTGAGTTTGATCGTATTTCATAATCGATTTCTTCGATATGTGAATTCCGGCTAATATTCTCATTTAATGATGGAGAAGACGCAACGTCTTGCATTTTTTACTGCCAATGGCAATCTGGTCAAAACAAATGAATGATCGAAATTTCATTGTATTATTGTCATTCTCCAGGGCCATTTAAATTGTTTTTTTTTCTAACGGCACCGATGGTGAAGGTAACAACTAATGTATTTTGTCGTCATTTGTAATCATTACACGCACACACATACACACATATGAGAAGCAAGAAGAAAATAATAAAAAAAACGTAATGAAATTATGTGACATAGAAGAAGAACAAAAAAAACTAATCTTAAGAATATAATAGAAGAAAAAATGTATGAAAAAGAATGATGATCGACAGATCATCTTGACCAAGATGGGTTGTAACAAAATGAAACATGCAGAAGAGAAAAGTTTCCAAGTCACGTAATACTTGAAATACAATTTGTTGTATCTATCGTAGACATCAACATAAAAAATGTCAAGTAAGTGACGAAACAAATTGAAGTGCATCATTTCTATTATTATAGAATCAATGATGAACAAGCACGCATATTCTATTCTTTTTTATTTTTTATATACGAATTTCATTAATGAACAATCAGATGAGTCGACAAGCGGAATAGTAGTGTTCGACTTTTTGATTGTATAGCCTATTCACGTTCTTAAGTCTTCGGAGAACATATATTCAATTGTCTTGAGTAATGAAATTCTTTCACTATCACACAATCAACAATAATATGCAAAGCAACATGAATATTTAAATAAAAGATAAAAATACAATTTGTTAACTGTTATGTAGAATCATTCATATCAATGTATCTATATTCCATTTAAATGATATGATAAGTCACCGCACAAATAAAAAGAACATATGAATATAAATCGTTTTTTTTTTTCTTCAAATCAAAATCGAGACAACAAGATAAAAAGAAACAAGCGTAGAATCTAATCATCATTAACTCGTCATGCTGATAAAATACAAACTACACCGTCCAACACTGTATAAAGAGCTTCATTTATTCTATCGAAGATAGACACTAGCAGCGGCATACTGGTTAATTCTCTCATTGACGACAACAATGTTTGGTTCAAGCAGGTAGTTAAAGAAAACAGGGGGTCTATCTTCTTTTGAAGATCACAAGTGCGTCATGATGTAAGAAACGGTGCTTTTGTGTTGTTCTTAAATTAACTTTAAAATATATGATACAAACATAATGTTTCATACTGTGATTAATGTAATCAGATAGCTTGAATATAGGTTGTATATGAATAACATTGAGTACCCATCATCAAACATAAACAAACCAATGAACATCACTTGAAAACAATCAATTGAATTGTTCTTTTGACTTTTAACTATCAAGAAAACTTTTCGAAGAAACTTTATAAAAAACAAAAAGACAAGAAAAACAATCGAAAAAGAAGATTTTCTTTTTTTATTTCAATTATAAAATAAATACATCTGCTTGATTGACTGTAACCAGAAAAAGAAATTTTGATACGATCAAATTTATGATGAAACATGATGCAATGTGTGTGTTTGATTGAAATCTTTAGCACATGCACTTGTCATATCTGCTTACGTCTCTGTTATTGCATAAATTTAAAATTTAAAATAAGCTTGATCTAATAAACACTTTCCAGAAAAAAAAGACAATTCTGATCAGGCGCACCTAATCTTTAACAAGTTTTACTCATCTTCTGATGTAAATGAATCTATGCGAAACAAACATAACTCCAATGAAACGGAAAAGTGTCATTGTAGATTCTTTTCTTTTCTCTCATAGAACCACTACACCTGTTCAATAGTTTTGTTGCTTTTGTTAAAGAATAGAAAAAAAAGACAATTATCATTAATATCATCGATTCACTTGTCCTTTTCTATGAAAGATAAGAACTCGCGCATATGCGATAGAAAATGTGAACATTAATCGAACTCTCTTCTGTATATGACTCCAAGGAGTCGTAAAAATGATCATTTTCCATATAGTATCTATGTCATGAATGATAATCATTCGACGAAGATGACTTTTCTTTCCGATAAGCGCTGAAAACTTATCCGACACCCTCTCTTTCATCATGTATGTTGATTTGTTCTTTTACACATAGCCATATATTAATGTCTTTTGTCGATTTTTAGTCTCCTCCTCATTTCTTTTTTTCTCTCTCTCTCTCTTTTTCTTCTTTTTGTCGTTAAAGATAGGAAAGAAGAATTCCCTAGTCTAGTTGATTTCTCCAAAGATATAAAAAAAAAGAGAGCGAAAGATGCAATGGAACGGCGTCTGATTGAGTGGAACAACGATCACACATCGTATTCTCTCATTCTTTCCTTATATCATCAAATACAAAAGATGATGAAACGAGCAAAAAGTTAGCCTTTGCGAGCATTATTGATGAAAAATGAGTTCGTACTAAAGAAGATGTTGATCATGATCATTTTTCTTGTCACTAATCGGGGATTGGCTCATGTTCCATCGTTTTTTTTTCTCATTGGTTCTTAGTCTAGCGCAAAAAGATATAGAAACAGAAAAAGAAAAGGAATAGAGGAAAAACACAGTTTTTTTCTAGCTAGAAGAAGAACAAAAAGGAAAAAAAAAGGGACGACGAGAAGAGGATTTTCTCCTCATCGTTTTGACCTTTTCACGCTCTCTCCTTCTCCCTCTCTCTCTCTCGTTCTCTCTTCGAAGAAAAACAGATTAATCGTTTCATTTTACAAATTCTCTCGTCTTTTCTTTTTCCTTTGGTCTAGTGCACGAGGTCTCACAGGAGAACTCGCATAGAAACTCACGACTTAGCGATCCCCATTGGTACCCATAATCTCTCGGTAGGAATAAAAAGAAAAAAAAAGAAAAAGAGCAGCAAATGACAATACATGTCACACTAGTAAATTCTAAAACAGAATGTCCCTTACTATATTAAAAATTCTTGACAAGTTTCATTTTCAAATAAATGAAGAGTTTAGATCTAATTTCAAAATGAAAGTTAAGTTCCCTTGAGTCAAATATACATACACATATACATTGAATATTTATTTTATTTTATATATCCCTATTGGTTAAATTTTAGATTGAAATTAATTTTATTGGATATTATCACATATAATTATATAGAAAAACATTTTTTTTACGGTGGCGCGTCGTGACATAAATAACCGACAAAGACGAATTGGTGCTTCAACTGGAATCGATTTTTGTGCTCAACCATCGAATCCATACGGTATGTAATTTATCTCAATGGAACAACAAAAATCAAGAAAAAAAAAAGAAAACAATGGAGAACATATATCTGCATGTCTCTCTCAAGAGACATTTACCTGTGAATCTTTTCTCTTGACTCTAGTCAAACTATCTTAACTATTGACGAGAAATCTAAGATTCTCTTGAGATAGTCCTATTTTTTGTTTATTCACAGATCCATTTATGCAGCCTCGTGGGGCACCATCAAGTTTTGGAGGTCTCAAAGAAGAACCATTAAGAGCTTCATGGCCAGCAATGCTTGTTGATCCCAGTTGGTATGGTTAAATTTATTTTCTCTATTGATTTAAAAAACCAAAAAAAAAAAAACCGCATTTTTTTATTCTTCTATAGTTATCTTTATCCAAGTATTGGTGTGGCTTCGGCACATTTTGAAAAACAACCGCCAAATAATTTACGTAAAAGTAATTTTTTTCATTTTACAGTGGCACTTTATGATCGAAGCGGTAAACCAATTGAAATTGAACGTACAGCTTTTGTTGGCTTTGTTGAAAAAGAAATGGTAAGAAGAATCATAGAATTTTAACTTTAAAAAAAGAATGATCATGATTATCATTTCACATAAAACAGATAGAGACTGTAATCACGCGATCGGTCTCTATGTCAAGATGTTCGTTTTTTTTAAAACTTATTGATAGACTAGTTGTTTTTGATCATTCAACATAAAACAAAAAAGAAAAAGAATTAGAGCAAACATGTTATTATTTTTAGGAACCTGATGGTTTACGTACAAATAATGGTATTCATTATCGTCTTAGTCTTTATTATCCAGCAAGTACGAAAATAAGATAAAGAAAAAGAATTTTTATTTAATAAAATGATTTTTCTTTTTGTTAGTTAATTATCGACATGAACAAGATATTTATGTTCGTATGATTGATTCTGCAACAAAACAAGTATATGGTCTTTTTTCTACATGTTTATTAAAATTCATTTATTTTAAAATTCATTTTAGCCAATTATTTATGAAGGTCAAGATAAAAATCCTGAAATGTGTCGTGTTTTATTAACACATGAAGTTATGTGTAGCCGTTGTTGTGACAAAAAATCATGTGGTAATCGGAATGAAACACCATCAGATCCAGTTGTTGTTGAACGGTAATAGACAAGAGTAGATACTGATTACTTTCTTATCATTAAATATAAATATTTAGAAGAAAAGGAGGAGATGTAACACAAAAGATAACATGACTTTCTCTTGATTATTTCTATAATTAAGTGTATGTTTGTATAAAAACAATAATAAAAACGTATGGTATATATTTCTCTTGTTTCTAATTGCAAATGACAATAAACGGCAGTTTGTCCCTTGAGTATGTGCCGCTGAAAATTAATTTCTTTTTGTTATTATTACTAGAGAGTTGATTTCTCTTGTGTGACACTGATGTTTTTTTTATTTTTTCATCTAGGTTTTTTCTTAAATTTTTTCTTAAATGTAATCAAAATTGTTTGAAAAATGCTGGTAATCCACGTGATATGCGACGATTTCAAGTATGATGAATAGAATAAAGCAAAAGAACAAAAACGAAAATTTTCTTATTTTAATTAGGTTGTTTTATCAACAACAGTTGGTCTTGAACCACCATTATTGGCTGTATCAGAAAATATGTTTGTTCATAATAATTCAAAACATGGAAGACGAACAAGAAGACTTGATCCTATTGACGGAGGTGCGTCCGTCTCAGATTCCGATTTGGGTCAGTTTACTGAACCCTTCTCAAGATTTGAAAAAGAATTTTAAAATTTATAAAATTTCTGCTTGTTTCTTTTTTCTTTCGTTTCTCATAGAATCACTTAT